GTTTAATTGTAAAATTTCACTGCTTTTTGAGTGTTGTCTGTGATAACAATACGTGTACATGTAGAAGGGGGGATACATTATTCCGAATACGCCTTTCTCGTCTCGTATTTACTTCACTTATAGACTGTCCTTTTTAAATGGAAACCTAATTCTTTCAATGAAAAGACGATTTTTACACCTGTCTTCCTGATTTTCTAACAAAAAAATGCAATTGAAATAAAAGAACCCATAAAAAAAATATTTCTGTTGATCATTTATTTATTTTCCTATTTTGATATTCTCCGAAAAACTGGAAGTTAAATCTAATTCAAAGCATAAAAAAATTAATTTGAAAAAAGAATCATTGCTAAAATAACATTTAAACTTTTTTTTTTTAAAGTGAACATTGGATGTTGCTTAACAAACTCTATTTAGATACCAGCTGAATATACTAGTCGTACAAAGATACGAAAGGGGAAAAAGTCACATTAAATTTCCGCAATCAATATTTATTCTGAGAGAAATCTGCATTATATTTCAATATTGTACTAGAAAGGACGTTTAAAATACTCTAACGGAAAAAAAGTTTATAAAAACACGACTTTTATTTCTCTATTGATACAAATGTAACTTCTCTCGCTTATATATAGATCCAACTTTTTCACTGGCATATGGGACATTTGTTTCCCAATTGAAATAATACACAGGAACATACACAAATATGCTCTACGTACATGTAACAACAATTTATTAAACAAGATAAGCTTTTGACAAACAATTTAATTTACGCTTATCATAAAAAGGTGTTTTTGTAATTTATCGACATGTACGTGCTAGCAAAAGAAAAAAAAGTTATATTAGATTAAATGCTGTCTAACATTATTTTTGTACTAAGTGTAAGACCATTATTTATACAAACTGAATTTTCAACAGATTTCCTGTCGCCCACGTGGCACAGTGGTTAGAGTCGCAAAGTAAAGAGTTGATCCTTACATCACGGGTTCAAATCCCACAGTGGGATGTGGGGACCGGTCCTTTGGATGCGACCATGTTAACGGAGTTCCCATGTCGCTGTAGGTGCTGGCACGACGCAGGGGTAAAAAGGAAGCATTCAGAATTTTCTAACAGGACTAAATCAGTGAAGCATTATGACCTCATTGTAGGCAAGATGACTTCAAATTTAGAACAAATGTTTTCTTGCTCTTAGAGATCTAATATGATACCAGAAAATAAATAGAGGCATTTTCACATAAACAATTATATAGTCTTTTTATTATGTTTTGGTGTATATGTCATTTGGATTAAAATCTACTACTGATGATGTCATAAGTGTACATCAAGTCATTTCTGAATTGATCATGTTGCCTAGAGAGAATTTGGGTAAGGCGGCGTGTACAAAGACACGTACACGTGAAATGGTTTAAAAGCAAATATCGGAAATATCGTGTAAAATTCATATGGAGTGAAGGTGTATTAAACAATAGGGTAATTTACTTTGAATTTTTGTTTTTAAAGACGGACAGCTATTTTATTTACCCCGGTCACCTCTATCGTCCATGACAAAAATAATGCAAAAAATGAACAGTTACTTGAATTTTTTTAAAAATAAGATTTTTAAAGAAAGTTGGAGGTCTACAATACTTTAAAAGTAGTGCTAGAATCCCTTGGAAATTGTTGCTAGAATACCAAGGTAAGCATGATTTCCAGAAAAATCTCGGGTTACTTGCATGAAATTTAATACATCGGGTAAGGCTTCGATCGAATGTGTTTAAATTTTTTTTTTGCTTATCGGGCAGTGGAATTCTTTCAGCACTTTAGGCAAAATAGATGTTTTTCAACCATATTAGACTGTTCACGATAGTCTAGCGGTAGAGCATTCTCTTCGTGATCGGGAGGCCCGGGTTTGATTCTCCTTCACGGCGCTGCGTCAAACATAAGACGTAAAAATAGTTAGTGACTGTTTCTTTGCCAAGCGCTCGGCATCAGAAGTGAAAGTTGCGGGTCTTTCGGATATGACCTTAAAAACGGAGGTCGCGTGTCACAGTAGACGCTGGCACGATAAAGAACCTTCACTGCGCAATGGTTCTGAGTGCCGAGTATAGGTCTAAATTTAAAGCCCTTCACCGGTATACGGTGACGTCTCCATCTGAGTGAAAAATTCTCGAAAGGGACGTTAAAAAATATACAATCAATCAACCATATTAGTAGGATTATTTCCATATTTAAGTGATGGTATAAGTGAAAATAAATTTGACCGTTTAATATTAGAGACAAAGTCAGGTCAAGGTCATTACATTTTCATGTAAATTAATTATAAAAAGTTATTGCTGCCGATCATGTGATCACTACATGTATTTCAAAAGATTGAATATTTTTCTTTTTGTGTAAAAAGATACTACCATAAGGGGCCTATAAAATTATATTACCAAATTGACATAAATAATTTATCTAAAATGGATATTGGCTAATCAGAATTTGCTCTACTTTTCTTAAATTTTTAGGGTAATATTAGTTTTTTTTTTCATAAGCTTCATACATTTAAATTTTTCTCATATATGGTAAAGTTTTGGTTGTTAACTAAGAGAGAAAAAATACTTTTTACTAATTTTTGGCCAAAATCTGCTCTCATATTGGAAGCTTATAAAAGTTAACATAGTTCTAGTTTGTCTGAAAAATCATATTTATTTGATATATTTAGGAATCTTAGTCCCTTCTTATTAATTAAACTTACATTTGAAAAGTTCTTCAAGTCTTTAATTGTGTAAAAATATGACTAAATTCATTGTTCTATGATAATTTTGAGAGGCAGAAAAGATATTTTCATACGCTAGCATTCCGCCCAAATTATAGCCCCTGCTAGTTTTCAAACGCAGTTTACAATTTCTACTTATAGTTGTACACTTGTGATGTGTAAAGAAAAGCATGGTCTTTTAAATCTCTTACTCCTAAATATAGAAGACACAAAAGCAAATATACTTTACGTATGTCATCTAGTCAGAAACTAGAGAAGAATCCTACCGTAAACTCTGGGGTACTGGTGTTCTGTTAGATTTTCTATTAAGGAATATTTCGCTGATAATAGAAGTCACGAGATGACATGATGGTGGTGCACGTCTTTGCATTAGACACTCTTATCTTAATGCGATAGTAAATAATAATTTACTTTTTATCTGCGGTTTTGGTAAATAATTAACCTTGATATTCTTTTAAAAAGCTCAATTTTTCAAGAAACGATATGTATACTTCCTTAGCATACCCGCCAAGAAGATCCCTCTTCACTCGATAGCCAGGTGTACGAGCGTAGAACACAGTTTGCAGCTCTCCATCGGCAAAAGCTGGCGTCTCCATATGAGTAAAAAATTCTCGAGAAGGACGTTTAACAATATATTCATGTTTACAGATTTTCCGTTTTCCAAAGCATGACAATGAGAAAAAAGCGCACATGACTGGTCGACATGGGACGCTAAATCCCATATGGGACTTGATTTCTATGTAATCTATCTATCAACTAAGTACTTTGTTATAAAGTGTAAAGTTCTAGTGTATCTGGCATCAAATACGCATGAATTATCAACTTCAATTTTCAAACAAGGGAAAGGGGTATTCTTAAATGTAATTCGGTGTTATAGGAGTATTTGCAGATAAGAAATTGGTAATACCCTTCAATATTAGAAAGAGTAGCAATATCCACGTTTTGCTGTGGGAACCTACAGTATGTGTCAGATCAAAAAATAAAATAAAAGGTGCACTTTTGCACTATTTAACAAAGGCTCTGAGAAAGCCTCATTAAATTCTGTGAAGCATTATTAAATATTATTTAGTGGTAGAAGAGGAGTTGCAGAAAAGAAATGGGTACCCCAAAGCGTAACAGACAAACGGACATAAAGCTAGACGGACGAGTGTACAGACGGACGGATTGAAAATACCCCATCACTATATACTAGTGCCCTTTCCTCCTGCTTTCCAAGCGGGGGTATAAAAAAGTCACTTTTCAATTAAAATAAGGAAGAATGAATATAGAATAGTGTTTGTAATGGGTAATCGGAACATGAAAATAGTCCGATATCTTCCGGTGTTCTAGATATTTATTTAGATTTTTTTTAATTTGTTAGAGTACAAACCAAACAAGCTCTTGATGCCTTTAATGAGGTTTTATGTGCCCTACAGAGGTTTTTTGCAGCGTGGTGATTCAGATTTGTTGCATTTTAAAAGTATGTCAACAATTTGAAGTACGAGAAATCGAACTGAGGACGAAATATCAAAGTTTCACATTATTCAAACTCTAATTAATAAACCTTCTTGGTGTGTTTATCAATTTATTTTTTACATCTTTAAATTTATCAATTTTCAGTTTTTAAATTTATTATTTTTCCCGAAGGTCAACATTGGAACTGTCATTTTAAGAATGTAATAAAAAGAAAGACGAAAGATCAGCCGAAAACCTTACGAATTTGAATTCCTGATTTACTAGTGTGCAAAGCATGAAACAAAAATATCAACAGATGGAATCTGCATTGTCATTTGAGAAACGGTCGTTTTTTTCATCACAATTTAGAATTTATTTGATGAGAAACAGGGATTCAGAATTTTATTTCCTTTTTTTCTATATAAGTATCATTACAATGTAAAATTAAAAATGTGATTCAATAGAAATACGTCAATTATCATTTATTTTTTCACTTTTCTTATAAAACAGCAATTTGAATAGTTAGTTCTGAAGGAAAAACACGATTTTTGAATTAATTTCAGCTGATCTATTTTAAATCAAAATCGTCTATATATAAAATATTGAATTAAAAAAAATATATTCAAGGGGGAAATTAACCCAGATTCAAATCTTTATAATATATATTGGAAGTGCTTTATGGAACGGTTATTTATAGACTAAAATAATATTAACTTCCTCAAGAGATATTGATATAAAATTTACTCTTCCAATTTACAAAAAAATAAATATAGATATATAATTTGGTAACAGAACCGAAAGAGACGTCATTCTCTAAGCCACCAGAAAACAATATTATTATTGTGAAGGTCTTACTGTAGAAACTACTTAAAGTTGGCAAGTGTCAATGTTATTCGGTATTTCATTAATTTTTTTTTTACATTTTGTATCTACTTGTCCCAAAGTTTTTAGCTAAACGTATAGCAACCTGACTGTAAGAGGAAAAAAAAAGAAATGTGGTGCATTGAACAACTTTCCTTTTTCCTGCTCTGGATTTGTATAGTGAGTACTTTTAATTGATATTCTATGACTCTTACTTTCATCATATGCATATTTATTTTAAAAAAAAATATTTTGACAAATTGCCAGAAACATTTATTTTCTTACTTCATTTTGAATTAAGATAATACATTTGATAACTGTAAAATCAGAAGCATACTTTCCGCTCGTACTAATCCACGGTCTAGTACGAGAGCATGAAAAGCCAACGGGTTCAAAATACATTCAGAGTCTGTAATTCTTAAAATGTACAGATGTTAACCTGAAATTGTAAGTTGTAAATCTGAATTTCATGATCTTCCAATTCTTCTTTCACATTTTTTTAGTTGTAACTATCCATGCGTAATTTCACAAGTGTAAAATGTAAATGCAAGTTTTGCCGATGCTCTTATGTAATTCATAGACTTATGATTTGTCATGTGAATTGTACTTTCGTGATTAAATCATTTTGCAAATTGTTCAAGTTTGTATTGTGCTAACACCTATTAAGACGAACGGGGTGCTATAAAGATGGCAGGTTTATTCATCTCTTAACAATTTAATAATTTCCTCAATGCGTCCACAAATACAGTACACCAGACCTGGGGATCATTGACGCGGCTGTTTATAGGCCAGGTTAAACAATTTTGAAACAATACATGTACTGACAGCAGCATTCATGTCGCTGTAAAGTACACATTAGTTTCTATTTACAGAAAAAAACCTAAATTAAAATTATTTCAAGTTATATTAAGTAATCATGTATGAAGCGTTTTTTTTAATCCCAAATAGATTACTACCTTGGCGTTTATATAGTCATTAATCTAATGTATAATATACCTTCAGGTTTTAGACTAACACACTACTAGGAAGTGGGGTCTTCTTTGCACCACTCATTGGCTTTGTATACATTAATCAAATTATTTTATAGAGCCAAACACATCCCAAAAGGTATGTTCTAAGAATCATTTGTTGGCTTACGTATAGTTTATTCCATGCATTCTCATAAGACAAAAATGAAGTTAAAAAAGGATGCTTCTTTGTCTTGGGCCCAACGATCACACACACAATAGAGCCTGTCTAAAATCTCGTCTTAATGCATTTGGCAACGTTTTTGAAAGGAGCACACATGCAGAAATCATTGACACTTTTATCTGAAAACCCTTGGGGATGGTGCGTAATTTTTTTTTTATTTTTCACAAGATCATTCGATCCATATTTATTAGGGATGTCAACGAGTACCCGGTTAACCGGGTACTCGATCGAACGTCCTAGTATCGAATACTAAAATAGGTACTCGGTTACTCGAATGTATATTTATAAATATTTCTAATCGTATTAATGCATTAACAAATCGGCTTTGAAACGTAAAATTTTCATTGCACATACAGTAATTAGGGTTTCCTGAGCTTCTAATTGACCGTTATCGCCTGTGGCAGTGTTTATTTAGTAATTATCCGTGACAAAACACATGCTACCTACCTGGCTTTTCTCACCTTCGGTTGTCTTCTACCCTTATGTTTAGTTTGCTCTAATTACGAGGGTTGTCCAAAAAGTTCGTGGACAGGGACGTTTTTGTTAAAATAAATGGTTCTCTATTTATCGATTGTATCTCAAAATATTTCTCATGAAAAAATAAGTCAGAATGATTTAATTTTTATTGAAGAAACTTAATATTTTTGTAAAATTCGGAATCTCTAAAGATCGCAGTTTGTGCGCACGGACCAGTCTGACCTTACGCTAATTTCATCATAACGTCAAACATTTTGATTTTGACTTAACACATGTTCGATTCATCGACACACACTACATTTCTTTCTTAAGGTGCAACGCACTTCGAAGTGCTAGCAGTAATCTTAAAGTATATATAATAATTTATTTAATTTTAAAAATTCAAAATAATGCACTAAAATTTACCATCATCATCTAAATAAACAGTTTGTATACTCAAACTGCACAGTCCAGTCCGGACGACGCTGCGCTAGATTTATAACAACGTCATGAATAGAATTCTCCATTTTCAGTAAACTACCTGTGATTTTAAATTCTTGTAGTGTCTTCAAAGTTGTACACACCGTTAAAAAAAATCGTATATACCAATCACAATTCGATACACTAAATATATTTCAATAAATCTGAGTTGTTTTAACATTTTTTTTTATTTCTTACGTCGTTTCAACCGTTATAAACCTTACTTTTTTTATCGGACGCTGCCCCGTGCGGACGACCGACGACGTTTTTTTGTTTTGATACGTACTTGTTAGGGTTTTCTTTTGGTATTTTCGTTGTCTATATAGTAAGCGATGCTTTTGATATCAAATCTGATTATAGACCCTTTATTTGTGTTACATAATTTTTTTTTATTAATTGTTGACTTGTTTTTTATAGAAAATAATCATTTTATTCCGGACACGTTATATCAGAGTTTATATCATTTTAACCTTGGTCCGTGCGCACTATCTGCGACCTTTAAAGACCCCGATTTTTAAAAAAAATGTTACGTTTCGTTAATAAAAATTTAATCATTCTGACTTGTTTTGTCAAGAAATATTTTCATATACAACAGGTTTATATAGAACCATTTATTTTCACAAAAACGTCATTGTCCACGAACGTTTTGGACAACCTTCGTATTTGTTTTCATTGAACATCGTTTAAGGTCTATTATGTTTAAATAAACTAGTGCTAATTGTAACGGGAACCGTTACAGATGTTCCCCAAACGCTCCCAAACTCCTTTTTGGTGCCATATTCCCTGTAAGCTTCATTAAATAAGACAAACTCTGTGCATTTTTGACTTTAACAACGTTTTCTCAGAAGGATACCAATTATATTCAAATTTTAGCATTGCACCCGTGCGCACATGAATGCATGTGTGTTATGATCATATCATCTTTTCTACACTATCTACATATTTTAATATACAATGTAGTAAAGCATTCAGTCCAAAAGTATGAAAAATCACTCTTTCAAGTGTATTTTCATTTCACTCGTTCCAAATGCACGCACGTGCGTGCACATGCATGATGACCATACCTTTTTGTAGGAGTCCCATATATCTATCTATATTCTAAATCCCATCCTGTTTGGTTGAAAAACAAGGGATTTATAGCCATTTCAAGTTTAAGCCAATCAGATTGCAGCACACGTGCATGCGTGTGATTTGATGATTTTTTTTCTATATCATATTGTAGGATATCCTAATGCATGACTATGTTTTCAATTTCAAAGCATTTCATCAAAAAACAAAGGAGATATAGCCATTTAAAGTTTCAGCTAATCAGAGTGCAGCACGCGGGCATGCGCATGCTTACATGGAAATTCTTATATATCATGCTGTAGATCTTCATAATGTAGGTCTATGTTAAACATTTCAAAGGATTATGCCAAGAAACAAAAAAGATATTGAGACTTTAGTTTCAGCCAATCGGAGCGAAGCGCACGTGCATGCGCGTAAGATCTTTCTTTTTTTACCATGTCATTTTGTCTATGCTTCCAATATATACTTATAATATGAGTTTCAACGCATTTCAACAATAATTTAAATAGTAACGTCTGTATCAATTATATTGGACATTTCTCGTGTTGCACGTGCGAGCTCTTGCAAGCACACGTGCATGCACATGCTTTCATGATAAATCTTATATTACAGGCTGTAGATCTCCCTAATGTATGACTATGTTCAAAATTTCAAATGATTTTATCAAAAAACAAAAAAGATATTGAGACTTTAGTTTCAGCCAATCAGAGCGAAGCGCACGTGCATGCGCGTGCGATCTTGCTATTCTGACCATGTCATCTTGTGCATACTACTAATATATCCTTACATTATAAGTTCCAAAACATTTCGTCACAAAATAGAAAAGATACGGTTATATCCATTATATATTGGTCATTTCAAGCTTTGCACGTGCGCGCTCTTGCAAGCACGTGCGCGCAAAATGACATTGATTCCGCAAATCTACATAACATGCCTACTTACCCTAAAAAGGTTTCACCTAAGTCGGATGTCTAGTTTACAAGATCACTCGCGTACAAAATTTTCCCAGGAAGACAAATAATAAGAATAACTAGATGAGATCTCGTTGCGAGCAACGAGTAGGTCTTCCGTTGAATTTCTAGATAAGATGAGATGTGATTTTGACTGAGATAATCGTTAAAAGAGAATGACTTTAAGTTTTCCCTCATTAAATTTAAAATTTCTCATTTTAATCAGCGTATTCTGACCATCTTTTGTTCAATTCTCCCCCTTTTTTAGACGTAAAGCATAAAAAACACAGCATTTTGTCCCTTGCAACCCTGATTACGTAACATATGATCAAAATGTTATCATATATTGATGCAAATCGTTATGATGAATAATTTTGCCCCAGTAATGTATAATAAATATTGATCATTAAAGAGTTATAGATACAAGACTATTGGCCCCTCTGAGCCCCTATTGTGAGGGGTCAGCCCCTTTTTTCTTGATATCAAATGAAAGGTCCTGTGATTTTGAAGATTTTTTGTTCAACACTTATTCAGAGATTTCTACTCCTTGTGGAGATATGCTAAATGGAAATATTTAAGGGCCACACCTACAAGTCCTTAATGGGGCCGTTTTACAAAAATTCAAAGTATGCATATTGTTAAGAACATCATTCTGGCCATCTTTTGTTCAATATTGCTTATCAAAATATTCCCCCTTTTCGAGATATAAAGCGTTAAAGATTGTATATTCTGACCCCTTGTGACCCCTTATTACGCAGATATGCTTAAAAGTTTATAATATATTGTTGCAAATGGTCTAAAATTAAAAAATATCGAAAAAGCAAGCAGAAAAAATGATAAAATTTTTTGGTCACACGGGGGATCGAACCCGGGTCGCCCGCGTGACAAACCAACGCGCTAACCATTTAGCCAATGGGATCGCCGCTTCGCGTTTTCAAATGCAAATATCTCGAGATTGGCTTTTTCGATTTTCAAACAAATTACATATTTGGCTTCTACAAGGGGGTCTCTATTCACATCAAAAACAAAAATATTAAAAAATAAAAGTTGAAAACTTGCGTTTTTTAAATTCACTTCCGGTAGTGACCGGAAGTATTGATGACACACGGAAAGGTGATTCTGCAAAGCTATAAGTCATAAACTATCATCTCAAAAAAGTCTCCTGTTCATATCTTAAGCAGTTTTCGCTACTAAGTTAAGACAAAATTGCATTTTAAAATCAGGAAATTTTAGATAACTCACGAACGGAAGTGACGTCATCAACAACAAAAATTTCCAATAAGGTTCAGATCAGTACCTATCAGATGTGAAAGTTTCATGAGAATCGGCCCAGTAGTTTACGAGAAATCGCGTGCACAGAATCGGTAAGAATAGGGAAAAAGAAACCGAAGAATAACAAGAAGGTCTTCCGTGAAGACCTTAATAATAATAAGAAACAGAGTAAAAACAATATGTTCCCCAACTTCGTTTGGGGAACATAATTAGATAACTTTGTCCTCCAGAAGCCGTAAATTCTTGAAGAAAGAGACGGACGATATTGCACGCGCGATTGTTGATATGGATGCATTTGTTTACTTGTCAATTAATACAAATTGTTGAATGCAAAGATTTTAAAAATCTTATGTCCACCGTTGCACCAAACTACAACATACCGTCTTGTAATTTTATGAAATCTAGGATCGAAAAGTGTACGAAGATCGTAAATCCGCTCTGTAAAATTGCTCTTTTGTTAAATAAAAAAGTTAGAAAAAAGTCTACGAACTTTTTGAATGTCCCTCGTATTTTTGAACCACAAAGTATCGCATAAGAATTCGTACTTTTTTATTCGTAAAGTAAGAGTACGAAATCTTAATACTACATGTATCTTATTATTCCAAAATATGTAATTTTTAATAAAGAATGTTTGTCTTGAGAAATGTAGCAATGTGGATAAACAATAAAACATGTGATATGCATGCTCTTTTGAGTTATCCATTTTAATGGTATTTTGCCAATAATATATTTCTAAGTTTTGTATAAAAGGTTGTTCATACAATTGTCATTTATTACGAATTCTCATTACATTGTTGATGTTTCTTTCTTAAGGACTACACTTTCCCATCACTGTCCTGTGGTGATTTGTCACTGGAAACAATGAAGGTAGTTGCATCCTGTCCATCAAATGAAGATGAGAAAAAACAATTTGCTACAAATAAAAATTGTGAGAGATATTGGAACCTTTATAAACACCAGTGCATTGAGGATCATTTAAAATTTCAATACCACTGTGTTATCAATAACTATAGAAATGAAACAATTGAAGTATGCGCCATCAAAACCAAAATCTATGGTATATACGCATGTATTTGGTATAAATTATTGCAAACTTTTTTGTTTAATTTGATAAGATCCGAAAATATTTTATGAAATTGATACATAATTAGTCTTCACACTACTAATTTCACTGATGACAAGGAATTTGCAAAACCGATTCAGATCTATCAGAGTAAAAATACCCTAGATAGTTCAAGTAAAAGCAGTGAATTCTCTTGCAAATTAAAGAAAGGACATTAGATCTTATTTATAAAAAAAAGCTGTGCTCATCAAAAATTATTCTCAGATTTCAGGAAACTTTAAGTCTTACAAATCACCAAATATCATTCCATTGCTTTTTTGTTCAATGAAAAACATCTTTTTTTTAGGTTACTGCACAGAATTCAACGTCGTTGGTGGAATTATCCAAAATCATTTAGGATACGATTGCACAAAATTTGATCCTCCATGCAAAGATAATTATACTTCAACAGACGCTTATCTGTGTATGTAAATTTTCTGCTAAATTGTGTTCTAAAATTTAAGCAACACTTTATCATATTCTACATATATTTAGAAAATATCATTACTTATTGGATAAAAACAAGGTTACTTCTTCTGCAAATTAAGCAAACCCTTTTGAGAAACAACAGTGAAAAGAAACTTATCTGTCGCCTGCTTTTTAGCTTCATTTAAATATAAATAAATTCAAGAGTGATCAGCTAACTATAGGAAGATTTATACTAATAAAACTTATCATTGAGACAAATGCTGACTGACGTTTTACATACTTATTGCTATTCCATTATTTATACACTGAATTGACGACGGATTTTTCCGTTATTTCCCGATCATGACAAGGAGCACACAGAGGGTGTGCCCGGTCAGTAGGGGATGCTCACTCCTCCATGGCACGTGATCCCACTTCTGATATTTCGGAGGTCCGTGTTTTCTCTGCTCCAATTTTGTATTGTTTTATGGACTTTGGTATTGAATACTGTTCGTTATCTCCATATCCTTCATCTGTCTCTAATTGAATCACCACATTGCACGATCTGTTGTTGAAAAAAGACCTTGAAAAATTTTCATGATATCTATTTTTATGCTTTAATTAATAAATAACGCTTAAAAATCGTTTATGAATATAATACATTAGAGGCAGCTTTATATATTGGAAGCGCTTTCTCATTATTATACCAGCAACTCAATTTCTAGCGACTGCGCTAAATATAAATTCGTCAATAATATACACTAACATTTATTTTTGTAAAGGTGGTCCAAAGTCAAGATCAGTCGAATTTTATTGTTGGTATTTTGGTTGTCTTATGACAAAAATAACACATGCTTTAATACATATGATTGCGCCCATGTGAAAAGGGTCCTTATGGCAATTTTTATGCATTTTGAGTTTTTCACGGATTCTGATAGAGTAAGATTAGAAGTTGTCAAATATGAATTTTTATGGTCCTACGTCTACTCTAAGTAGGTTTTTTCTTCATTTTTATCAAATATACTTTAACAGGTTAATAATGACGTCATGTTTTTCAACAACGTCAAACGTTTTCAGAGTGAACGTTAAATGATTTTCTTCTGTAATTTTACTACGGTGATTAATAGTTGTATAATATTTAATTTTTTTTCATGCACATTATTTTTATCTCATTGTCTCTTTTAATTAATAATTATTTTATAGTTATATATAGTATGGATTCATCAGTGGTGTATAGTATTATTTTTGCTTTACATTTCACTTTTCTATGACACCAAGGGGAGACCTGAACAGCGGGCAGCATCCATTCATTTTTTTTTTGGAAACAATTATTTTCTCAAACAAAATATATACTGGTAATCCATGCAAGAGTCATTTGATAGGTCTGTAGAATTCATTTGAAAATTATTTTAATTTAAACATTGCTCTCGATAGGTCAAGATTACAGCAAAACGATATATCTTTAGTTACCAAATATGTGAAAACTATTTTTTTAAACAACATTACGCTACCTAAATGCTACTGCGAAGTGAAAATTTATTTGATTGTTCTTTCTTCCTAAACTTTATATAAAGACAGAAAAATTGTGAAGTGTGGTACATGTAACATGCAATTACGATACACAAAAAACAGTAAATAAAAAGGAAATTCGGTTGATTCACTGCATCTATAAGGATGTCTGTCTGCATTGAGTCAATAATGACACTGCTTTTTTTAAAATATAAAGGATACACGAAATATTTTTTTAGTCTAAAAATATTTTAATATTAACCAATCAAAAGGTGGAAATTTTACAAACAAATGAATGAGTTAAAATCTGAAATCATTTACACAATAGATAAACCCAGGATTAACCCCCCCCCCCCTTTCCCCATGAAATAGGATTTTCGATTTTGTGCAACATTAACCTTTTATTTTTTTGCTTGTCAACTTTTCAGGGAAGTAAAAAAAAATCTCTGGCTGCCCCCCCCCCCACCCCCCTACACTTTAAAAAACGATGCTACGTGCCTGGTGCCAGAAGCTTGGATATGCTAAGCCTTGTAAAGCCTACATGTTACAGAAATATATAAGGACACCCCCACACCCATCCCCTGCATAGCGGCCAAAATAAAACAAAATGCAAGCATATTGCTGCGGTTTTATGTCATGTATTTTCAGCATTGAATTTTATTTTCTGTTAGCATTAACATGTAGAAATAAAACTCGACCTGAACTTATAAAGATTTTTTTTTCAATCAAAACAAATAAAATAATATCTGTGCATATCCATAATTTGATGGCAGGTTAAACAATATATTATTCCACACTGATCACTGCAATGAGATTATAAGTTCAGTAATGATTGAGTTTTTAGCATGATAATTGATCTGTTAAGAGACATTCAATGCTGATCGAACTTTTATGAAAGACAAAGTTCGTCATGTCTTAAGAAATTAATTTGCAGATAATGCTTCAAACATTTGAATTCCTTATGAAAAAAAAAAAAAAACAACAACACGTAAGTACCAATTAAAGAGTTACATGTATATTAAATTTGGAGATCTTGAAAATAAATATCTATACATGTATATATAGTTTAGAGAACAAAAATGATATTTTCTTTTATTTATTATTTCATTTGTTTTGAAAACTCATCTTTTTCAATAGAATTTCACATTTCTCAATATTAGAAAAATAGATTCAATATAAATATTTTTATCTACCCTCCATCCTCTCTCTCTCTCTCTCATCAGATTTACTTGACCAGCTCTATTTAAGTTGAACATTAAGAACTTTTTTTTTTTTCATTCGGATGTTTTTGCTTGTTTTAATTTCTCTAAATTGATGTGTCTTTGTGCAACAAGAATAGAAGGCAAAACAACAACTTTAAAGTTTAATTTATTTAATCATGATTATAAGGTAGACGCTTTACATGTTTATTATTTTTTTTAAAATGAAATTCGTCAAGAAATTATTTCATGAAAAAAAAAAGCTTTAGATAAGAGATTTGAAAAAAAAAAAAATTAAAGTCTGTTCAATTTAACAGTTTTCCTTTTTTTGTCCTTTTTTTCTACATTAACCTTATTCCACGAGTACAACAATATATTTTTATTTAAAAATTCATAATTATGCTGACGATTAAAAGTGTTTTTATTTGGTCATAAAATATCTCTTTTATAATCCGGGAGCAAATTCATGCGAACATGCAGCTGAAATGTGAAAAAGTACGCAATTAAAATGAATGTCCCTCTCTGGTACCCCTGTTACATCGATTTGTTGACATCAGAGTTATCTCTCCTATTTTTATTTGTAGAAAATACAAATAATCTTGACTATCGTTCTTACACTTTCTTGCTAGATTTGTAAAAAAAAACGTGGAAGATGTATGTTTAGTTTCCACATTTGTATTAACAATTTAACAACAGTTTAAGCAGTATACACCGAAGAACATGATGAATCAATGTTTACATGTGACTGACGCGATCGCGATGTATATTGAGAGTGGTGGAGCGGATCTTACAGAAGTATAGGAAGACAATTTTCCTTTGCAATAATTTTTTACGATATACCCTTGTATCAATACCCATATAAGTCTTTATCTGGAGTGTAATAGTGTTTATTCAAGTAGGTAAGCACATGGCATGTTTACAACAATGGCGGCAATGTGTAGAACGGGGCCGCTTAGGTGATATATGAAATACATTAAATTTTACCGAGGCCGCTCATGTACATAAGAATGAATAGGATCTATATTTAGCAATATTCAATTGACATACTCTAATATTGTTACATCTCCCTTTTTTTAAAGAAACAAAAATCCTATCAGGGACCTAAACACTTAAACAAGAATGAGATCAAAGTATATGCAATTTCAAACACAACAATATTACAAACTGACTAGTCTATGAAAATAATGCTGAAACAGTTCATTACACATAATACACTGCATGCACATAGTTCTCTAAATATTGTTGCGTCTTAACAATGCGTCCAGAACGAGTGGTTCGCGGTTCATCGGGCTTCGGTGGCACATCTCCGCTCTGAACGACTAACGGTTTGTCCGGTATGGATCGATCACTTTCACTGGTTTCGGAACTAGGTCTCGGGCAGTTCCCACTCGGCGCAGTCTGTCTGGAATTATCACCTGACTGTTCGTTCGGAGTTGCGTAGTCAGGAATAACGCTAAGGTCATTTGGTTTCTCACACGTGGCCTTCAGATGAGAGCGGTTTCTCCTATAGGTACCGTCTTGTGTTTGTACATTGTACGATCTTATTCCCTCTTTGCCGATGATTGTTCCTTTCTTCCACTCCTTTTCCCTTAGTTGTGTTGGCTTCATGCGCACTGTGTCACCATGATGTAACTCTCGCAAATCTTTTGCTGTGCGGTTGTAATAGCGAGCTTGTCTGTCCTTTTCCTTCCTCATGTTCTTGATGTTATCTTTTTTACCACATGGTGATAGCAATGTTTCCTTCTGTGACATCAATGTTTTTGTTCTACGGTTCATTAAGCACTGGCTTGGACTTTCTCCGATTCCTTGTGTTGGCGTATTTCTGAAGTCAAGTACTGCAAGCCATGGGTCTTGTCCACTGTGCTTAGCTTTTCTCATAAGCTGCTTTGCGGATCTTACAGCATTTTCCGCTTTTCCATTCGAATTAGGATATGCCGGACTGAATGTTTTATGGTCGAATTCCCACTTGACTTTGAAGTTTTCAAATTGCTGGGAGGTGAATTGGGGACCATTATCACTAATAACTTTGTCCGGAATTCCGTGTCTAGCAAAATGCTGTTTTAACTTGCTGATAACAGTAGCTGAGGTGGTAGACTCCAGCCTGTCAATTTCGAAGAAATTGCTGTAGTAGTCTACTGAGATGAGGTATTGGTCATCACTAACATGTGATTGGAAGAGATCTACTCCTACAACAGACCACGGGCGGTTTGGAATCTCATGCGACATGAGAGTTTCTTTTTGCTGTGATGGCTCATAAGTTCGGCACGTTTCACACTTTGATACAAGATCTTTGATCTCGGAGTTCATGTTCGGCCAGTACACACACTCTCGAGCCCTACGA